AAATATATTTAAAAAAAGAATCCTTGCAATGTATTGTCAGTATTGATAACCAGAAGGAATGTTCTTGATCAGCATTTAAATGTTCTCTTCAGTGAACAATGACCAGCATTTAAATGTCCTGTTTAGTGGACAAAGCTCTTTTTTCTAAAAACACAAAGCTGTTGCACATAAAACCTCTTTAAACATAAAACAAAATCAAAGAGAATTATTGAGTGTATCCAATCTGGAGGGCATAGTTAGGGCCAAGCCACTAAACTTACCTTTGAGAATTGGACACTACTTGCAATGGTGAGGAATTTAGCAGACCCCCTGAATCTTGGATACCTGCAGATGGCTTCTCTTTTTCTCCATGTTCAATCCTTCTTGGGCTGATGCTCAAAAAGTCTATGAATTGAATTACTTCCATTTTCCAGTAGCAATGTCTCTCTACTTCTTAACTATTTTCACTTTTCTTATACTCTCTAGATTTTAAAAAATTATCTGTAGGTGTGAGGGGCAAGGAGGGAGAAATAGAATAGTGGGGACTAGCTATAGCTGTATGAAATATTAATCATGCTCAGTTAACCATGATTGTTTTGTTCTGATTAAAGAAAGCACATTCTGACGTGGCTGAGAGGGTAGGCCCCAGACCTGGGAGTTAACCTCCAAATGTGGTCCATTCTCCTTATCTGAGAACTACCTTTCATCATGGAAAGATTAACAACCTTGTTCCCGAAACAATGGAGTCCTGGAGGTGCCCAGCCTTTGCAATCTCTAGCCCACATTGCCTGTAACCTGTAACTATTATACCTATTCTTATTCCTTTTGCCTACTTCTCCATGCCTGTAATTCCTTTTGCCAACTTCCTCATTTAATCTTTGTGCTTCTACCCAACATAAGCATCTGGCTTATGGGGGGTGGTAGAGAAGATTTTTTTTGGATGACCTGCTGCTCTACCATGCTGCCGGCATTATTGGAAAATAAAATGCTTACATATGATTCAACCCTGTCTCTGTTCAATTAACTATAGTAGTGACAGGTAGCCTACACCTATTTGTTGTCTGACTTCATAAGAAGTACACTCAGGATTTATCATAAACTGTTCTGAAAGGAATTCAGATTTGCCTCACCTATATGTCCATGCTTTTGCTTAACTCCCTCATAGCCTTGAACACATGACCACTTATTAGATTTCATGGCTGACTAAGAGAACTAGATTTCATTCTAGGTCAGATGGAGTCTTGTTGATGAGACCCATTCCACCTCATCTAATCAAACCTATCAGAGAAGCATACTTGATCACTGATTACCTAATCACCAAATAACTCCTGGAAGTGTGTCAAGAGTTAAGAGTTACTACGTCTTATAGAGTTTCTTCATCTGTCAGTATCCTCATATCTTAAATTGCTAATATTACCCACACCACTGGATGATTGTTGGAATAAAAAGTATGCATACCTGCATAACTCTTGGGCACAGACAATAATGTGGTTAAGGCCTGGGGAGGGGGTGGGCGTGGGGGGAGGTCAATGGGGAAAAAGAAAGGGACATCTGTAATACATTCAACAAAAAAGATATGGTTTTAAAAAAGTAAGTGTTATTAAAATTACTGCAATACATTCTTACCAGGTATGATAATAGTGAATTCAACATGTATCAAGTTCTTCATAGAATATTTCATTTGAATATTTATGCATGTTTTCATCTGACTGTACAAGATGAAATTTCTTCTTTTTATGTAAAAAATATTTTTATTGATTTCAGAGAGAAGGCAGAGGGAGAGATAGAAACATCAATGATGAGAGAGAATCATCAATCAGCTGCCTCCTGCATGCCCTCCACTGGGGATCAAGCCTGTAACCCGGACATATGCCCCAACTGGGAATTGAACTGTGATCTCCTGGTTCATAGGTCAATGCCCAACCACTGGGCAACACTGGCCAGGTGAAATTTCTTCTTGCTATCTGACTTAAATTCTCCTTCAATAGTCCTTCTCTCTTGCTTTCCCAAGGCATGCTCATCACCACCAAGACCAGACCTTTCTGTTAGGTCTGTGCCCACAGGAGCCAGGCCAACAGATGTGAGAGTTTAAGAAATTTTATTACATTCTCTCACAGCGAGCTGAGACAGGTGTGTTGGTGTCAGCACCGAGGAAGTGTTTATGTCCTCTTATATAGGGACTGGGCCAGGGTTGCACCAGCCAGCTGGGGTACTGCCTGAACAACAGGACATCCTGGGAAAATAGCAGGATACCTGGTGGGTGCACAACTCAGGCAGAGGGGAGCGCCAGAGTTGGCTGGGGAGTGTATCTTCTGCAGGTGCAGGTCGTTTGCTTCAAACTATGGAAAAAAAACTTATGATAATATATTTCAAAAAAAAAAAGAAAGATGGCGACCGGCAGGAAGGCAGGGAGGGAGAGTGTGTGAGAGAGTGAGGGAGCTATAGAGGAGTGTGTGGATGTGTGTGTGTGTGTGTGTGTGAAATAGGGACAGTTAGATCCTGCAGGTCTTTCAAGGGGCTGCCAATCCGGGCAGTCTTAGATGGCAAAACCCCGCTGCCTCCGCAAACACTCTGGGGAGGACACCAGTGGTACAGAGACCACACCATCTTGAAGAACAGAACTGCTTGAGACTAGGATCCTAGCCTCGTAACCGCCCAGTCTGGTCTCAGTAGCAAATCAGAACCCCACAGCTGGTAGAAGACCTGAGACCACAGCTGCAGACCCAGGGACACCAAGACTCCAGGCACCCAGGCGGAAGATTTCTGTGAGTCACAAAGCCAATCCCCCTCCCACGCCGCCCCCGGGGCAGCATAAGAACTGCCAGACCCCGGCTGCACAATAGGGCTGTCTGCACACACTCAGCAGCAGCAGCTCTGCCTGACTTTGAGCCTTGGTGTCGGACCCGGGAAGTTTGTTTACCGCGACCAGGCTCCGCGGGCAGGGAGACTTTTCTGAATTTGAGCCTAGGTCAGTGATGGCGAACTTTTTGAGCTCGGTGTGTCAAAATTTTGAAAAACCCTAACTTAACTCTGGTGTCGTGTCACATATAGAAATATTCATAATTTTTTTTTGATAGCTGCAACCATAGTAAAAAAATTTTTATATTTTTGATATTTATTTTATATATTTAAATGCCATTTAACAAAGAAAAATCAACCAAAAAATGTGTATAAAGTGAACAAAAACAGAAAAACAATGTACATTTAGGACAAAATAATAATAAAAACAACGATAATCAAATGGTATGAAAACTAGAAATTAGTGACTTTTTTGGTGCTGAAGTTTGTCTGCTAATTCTTCGATTGCAGGTTCATACTTGGTGCACTTCAAGGCCAAGCAAGCGCCACTAACTTAATCTGTTAGCTGGTTTCTTTTGTTCGTTTTAATATTACTTAATGCTGAGAACAAAGTCTCACAAAAATATGTTGATGAAAAAATTGTTAGCAAAGCCATCGCTAGATTTTTTAT